AAGGTTTATTTGCTCCCTGTTGGGATTAATCCATAAATGTAGCCTCCACATGGAACTCATCAGGTCTTTGCTTCCTCTTCATTAGTCTCCCTGGAACTGGAGGGTAGCCTGTATAAGATGAAAATTAGGATAATATATTTTCAGAGAGAAAAGGCCTGGCAATCTCTAATTTGTATTTCAGGATCATAATGCTGTGGAAAATTTCCCAAATGATGTTGTCTGAGAAACCACTGCTTGTTATGCTTGCCGTATTTGAAGTTTGAATGAAGCAATTACATCTTTTTCTTAAAGCCTCCAAAGCTAATTGCAGTCTTAAACTAGCTAGGTTGACTCCCAGGCTCCTTCTATCCACACTACAACTTAAAATTCCTTTCACTTGACAGATCTTTTGGTCTTCTAGCCCAAGGGCTCTGAAATGTCACAGTATGGCCCACTTATTAAAGAGATCATTTCACTGTAGTCCACCCAGTTCCTCCCTCCCTCTTGTTTTGAACCCCTGCACTGATTAGAGGGCAACCACTGAAATACACTTTCTCATCCCTTGAGACCTCTGTATATTTTTTTTGTCATATTTGATGGAAGAAGTTATTTTAATCCAGGCTTCAACTAGAAATGGCACATATTTCTTTTTGTCACTTCTGTTCTAGAGTCTCTAACAACTACATCAACCATTTAAAACTGCTCTGTGCCCAAAGCTGGAGTAAAAGAGCTTTCTTGTCAACAAAAAATGCTCAAGTCCCCATCTGATGCAAAATTTGGTGTATTATGTATTTTGAAAGTGGTAGCTACAGCATTTGTTAGTACCTCCTTAGAGAGCTTTTTTGTCTGGAGAGAGTTTTGCAGCATTCCAAGCCGTGATTTTTATCACTTCAAAGCTATAGTCTCCTCAAAATGCTGCTTGTTGGGATTTAACAGTACTTTAAGAATGGGAGTGAATAACTATTGAGAGAGTTCTAAAGGCCTCTAAAAGTTTTTGCTGGTTCTGCTGTTTGACTTTAGTCTCAGGTCCCGCATTTGCCCCAGGTCCGTGAGCTGGACGCTCGGTTATTTTCACGTCCCAGCTGTCCTCCAGTGCTACAGCTGTCACAAAGCACAACTTGCAGAGTGGCATCTGTGTAAGGGCTGCTGCTGTCGTTTAAAGCTCTTTGGTGCATTTGAAGCTGATTTTATGACACGAGTCATTGCCCCTAGTGATGGGTCTCAAAAGGCTTCTTCCTTCAGAGTACTAATGTACAGTTTATTGCACTTTTCTACGTGGTTCCAGCACTTTGTGGGCGCTGCTGTTGTAAATCATTATTTATTATTCTAAGTGCCCTTGCTGTTTATGCAGAAAAATGTACTTGAAGAAAAATTTCTTGCTTTCTGACATGCATCTATCATTGGTACAGATCTGGCAGCTTCCCGGTGAGTTAAATCTCCACAGTCCTTGAAAGCCAAGTGCTGTACTTCCACACTGATTTAAGCTTCCCCGCTAAGCCCCATCAGTTCTTTGTGAGGCTGGCAGCCTGTGTGGCTCACAAAGCCATGGGGCTCTCCTGCTTACAGTGGAGACCCAGCCTTCCCACAAGCTGGGTTTAAAAGACTATAATCTTGGGCTCTGGACTGCAGCATAGGTAAGTTGAGCACGTCTGTAAGCTCCCTCAGATGCTCTGTGCCACGTTGGTTTTTGTAAAGACAAGTATACCAGCACTTGTTTGCTTCAGTGCATGTTCATAGCAAATTGTGTTTATGGACAGCTGTTTACCGAGGGTGTGAGGTGGCAGCTGAACACAGGCTTTCTCCAGCATGCTTCTGGATGGCTCTTGAAGCAGTCTCCTCCGCTCAGTGGAACTATGTTCTCTTCGGATCCAGGATAGGCACATATGTGCTCAGTGGTTACTAGAGGGTGCTCCCTAGAAAGTGAGATTTTTTGAGAAATCAATTACACAAAGGCATGGAGTCAGGGCCAGATGGCAGTGATGCTTCATCCCAACCTGGGAGGTACTCCTGGGATGGCTGCACACTCCTTCTCACAGGGCTGGGTAATCAGATAAATCAATTAGCAGATGTCGGCTCAGTTAACAGAGCAAGCAACGTGAGCATAGGTGTGTTACTGTGATGAGAGCAGAGGGGGCTGCTCTTCTGTTCCCCATGGGTAACCAGTAACTGGGCCAGCTTTTCTAGACCTGGCAGGGCAGGAGCAGAGAACTCTGCTTTTCCCAAGACTCTGCTTTCTGGCTGTTGTCACCAGGTTCAGATGTCTGTCCTTGCCAACCTGGAGGTGCTTAGGGAGAGGGGAACTTTGAGAACTAGGATGTGGCCGAGGATCTTGTGCTTTGTGGGCAAATCCCATCAGTGTGGTGGCCTTTCTGTAGAATGATCTTGGTCACTGACAAGTAGTTCAGCTGCGTCTCCTGGGTGGACTTTGGCCCATGCTGTAGCTGTGTCTCCAGCCCTGTCTCTGGCCCCATCTCATTTTGCTCCTGTTGGAAGCCCCTCAACAAGCCCTGTGCCTGGTCCATCCCTTTGCCATGTGGGGGCCAATCCCAGCACTCCGTTGCCAGTACCCAGCTATGCTCACCTGGCTCAAACCCTGCAGGACCATGCCCTGCGTGGGGTGGCCCTGCTTTGTCTTACTTGGAGCCTAAAAACATGGAGAACCCTTTCTGGGTTTTCCTTCTGCTTTGTTTCTTAGCATCTTGTACCAAGATGGGGAGAGAAGTGCTAGGAGAGGCCTTTGGCTATAAATTCTGCATTTGTGGCTTTCTTTTAAGTTTGCCATGCTTAGGAGTTGTATTCTTGGACTGTGATGATAGCTGTTTTCTGGAAACCCCTCTAAATTCTCTCCCAGGAAGGTGTTTATTATACAAAAGTGATCAGGGAGAAGGAAGGTGGAAATACGATCTTGGGCAGAGCTATGAAAGGGGGGGGAAACAGCCAAAATCCCCACCTTGGTGTTTTGTTGGAGGCATGGGAAGTGAACCACTTTGCAAACTTTAACCTGCTCTTGTGTAAGAACTCTGACCCATATTGTGTAATTTATGGGATTATTTTTCCTGTCGGGTTAATTTTTTAACAGCTTTCTGAGCACAGAGTTGGTTGGCAGCGAAACCTGTGCTCAGAGAACTTTTTCACTACATGGGCATTTGCTTCGTTCATATGGTAGACCTCTTGCAGATCTTGACTTCAGAGCACCCAAGGTTCCCAGCTGTCCACTGAGAGGCCCACCAAAGGGGTCCCATCTCAGGTGGGTCCCATCTCTGTTCCTCTCTCGTGTGTGTGATGGAGAAGCGATGCTCAGCGTATGGACATCACCAGCAGACCTAAGAACTGAAGGAACTGAAGCTGGCTTAGCTTCTTTTGCTTGTCCTCTCTGCTCTCTGGTTGCTCTCACGTGCCTGTGCTCCTGCCCTCAGTCTCCCTTTTATGGCTACTTTTTAAATGTCTTCGTTTCTGACATTTGTCTGCAGAGTCAGTCACAGCCTGGCTGACCAACTCCTGCCTCCAGGCTCTTTGCTGATGAATCCCATCCTTTGCCCTGCTCCACCTGCCCTCCCACTGCAGGCTCGCTGATCCTCTCTGCTTTCGCATGAGCGCATCTCTTTTGCCCTCCGCGTTTCAATCTGGCAGCTTGTTCTTGCTTGGTGCTGTTGGGAACACAGGCTGTCTGGCACCAGCTCTGGGACCCAGCGATCCCAGAGCTGCAACAGAAAGGGAAAAAACGGTCTGGAAATGTAGCTGCTAAAGTGTAAGTTGTTTCTAGTCAGCAAACTGAGCCTGTATATGTTCCTTTGCACTCCCCTTCCTTCGTAGCCTTACTGTTTCTCCAATTTTAGAAATGTTTTCATAGAGACTGTTCTGAATACATTGTTTCAAACTGTGAGAGTATTTTTTTAAGTGAGGCTATCACCAAATTGGTGGGAAGAAAATCCAGAGTTATTTCTTTCATGCTTCCTTGTTGAAAGCTGCTTGATTGTTTTAGCAGATGCCAAGCCAGATACCTGGGATGGAAGCTGTGGGGTTTTTGCTGCATTGCCATTGACTGTGTCCGAAAGACCTCAAGGACTGGCGGTGGAAGTTAGGGCAGGGCAGATGTCTGGGTGAATGTACAGAGAGCCAGCCTTGGATAGAAGCAGCCTAAGCAGGTGCTGGCAGACCTCTGCTACCAAAGACTTTCCCCAAAATTACTGTAGTAACTGGAAAGGATTTGGTGTTGGTACGTCAACACCGTTGACATTGTAGAGCAACTCCACGTCATGTGTCAGTTGCTCTGCAGCATGTCCAGACCCTGTGCCTGGCTGCTACCAGCTGACCCGGACAGGGCTCTGAGCAGCCTGCTCTAGCTGCAGATGTCCCTGCTCCCTGCAGGGGGTCACACCACATGACTTTTAAAGGTCCCTTCCAAACCAAACCATTCAGTGATCTCCTCAGCCTGAAACCAGGACAGGCGGTCTCCTTCAAAGACCATTTATTGCTCCACTACCTCAACCAAGCCTTGTTAGGACACCGTGCTGTGTGGCAGGAGTGGGGCTAGCATGAGAAGAGGCGAGGGAGCCACTTGCTCTCGTGCCCCAGAGTGACCCCCACACTCTGGTCAACACGGGCAGCATCCTCCCTGAGCTCAGTGCGCGTGCGGCTCTGCCGTTCAGTCCCAGAGCCTCCCAGGTGCCAAGGGTTTGGCACAGCCTGGCCAGTCACTGCCCTGCTTGGGCTTTCACAGCGCCTTGAAGAGCCTGTCCTTTCTCCCTGGTACCTCAGAGAAGTTTGCTCTTTGCCACCGATACTTAATAAAGTCCTCTGAGGCTGTCATGTATTTTCGTGTATTTCCCCTATTATTTCTCCCTGCTTGAGCCTTTCAGATAATTGATGATACTTTAGTTAATCATTTTCCCCCTCCTTTGTTCGCCAGGTACCTCAGCCTTCAAGGGATCCTTTTCATTTAGAATCCGTGTCTTCTCTTAAGTAATTGATCGCCGTGCACCCGGGGACACCCAATTCACAGCCGAGTGGGACCAGCCGTCATGAATAGGCAAAGCGCCGTGGCCGCGCTGCTGCAGGAGTGCAGGCGAGCTCTGGACACGCTCCTGCTGGCCAAGGCTGGCACGGGCCAGGGAGATGAGCGAGAATACCAGCAGTGCCAAGGTGAGGTCCCCAGAAGAGGCAGCAGGACCACAGCAGCAGCCGCTGGTCCTCAGCCCTGCCCTATTTTTCTTCTCCTGGCAGATGAGTGTCAAGAGATGCCTGGATTTTGAGGCCATGAATGGGATGCAGGCAGGGAAAGAAGTCCACTTTGTTGCAGTGAATTGCTGTCAGTTCTAATTTTAGGCTTCAGTAAACATGAGGCTGTAAGGAACAGTTTAGTTTGGGGAGAACAATGCCCAAAAGTTTGCTGATGCACATAAATTTCAGTTATTAAAAAAAAAAAAAAAGAAAGAAAGAAAAAAAAGGATGCAACTTCTGAATAAGGGCACATATTTCCTTTCCTTTCAGAGGAACTGGGGGAGGGCCTTTTCTGTTTGTCAGCTTCTCCTAATATATTAAAGAGCTCATTGCCTGAATCTTTATCTTGTAAAATGTGTGTGACCTCTATAAGTGCTGTCCAAAGGAAAAAAAAAAAAAACAACTTGCAATATCCCTCTTAAAAGGAAAATCCATACTGGCTAATGGCTGGAATAAATAACCAGGAAAAGAAGAGGTAGTTAGCAAGAGCTGTAATAGAAGGGTTCTTCATTTGTTTTAACACTGGCATTACCTGCTGGAACCAGCATTTATTTTGGTATCGCTGTGGTGCTTTGAGAGTGGTTTGTTAAAAAATGTACATATATTATTTCTTCATTCCAGTGGAAGTCCAGTTCCTGTCCATTCTGAAAGGGTGTGATACACACAGCTTGGTTTTCTCTCGGTTCAGACTTCTAGAGGATGGCCTAACTTCATTGCCACAGTTGGTTTTATTCCTGAAATAAAAACCAAAATCTGAACTGCTGAATTTCTTTGAATTACACCCTTTCAGTACAGGGTAGCTAGGTTATGTACTCCTTTCTGCCACATGCAAAAATAACTCCAGCAAATACAGAAAAATCTACTGTGAGATGACAGTGGGATTTCTAGGGGAAAAAACGAAGGCATTAGGAAAGACCCACAAGGAGTTTATTTATGGGCAGGTTTTGCTTTGTGTGACACATCTGCAGCACTGTCCGTTTTCCAGTTTAGTGTTAATAATGTTTGGTTTTGCTTTGCATGAGCGACTCGGCCGCAGCGTTAATTTGATCCCTAAAACCCTTTGTTTGTCTCAGAGTGCAGAGCCATTGAGAATATGTTTTTCCAACCATCCTTGTTCTTGCTGGGAGGTCAGCTGCCTTTTTCTGAAGCACCTAAGTCTGTTTGCGGTGTATAGGTTTCTGTTATGGATACTGGAAGGTTTTTCTCTTCTTTTTTTCTTTTCAACAAAGGGTACTTTGTTTCCTCATCACAAATTCTTTTAAGTTTTATTATGACTCCTTAGAATAGACTCTTGAGCTCCTAATCAGGTAGCGCTTTTTTCCCCCTCATCCTCCTCCCTCCTTTTCTCCTATTAAATACCACAAAGTATGAGAAATAATCAGTTTAGTTCCAGATAAGGTAAATCAGTGCCCTTATAATCACTCGATTAGACATGGTCCTTCAGGTAAACCGCTTCAGGAAATGGGCGATCAGAGCCTGAAGTGATGCTCAGGCTTTTCTGAGGACCAAGTTCCCATCAGCTGGAAGAAAAATACCCAGCAGTGGGGTGGTGACAGCAACATTAATAATAGCTGGGGCTCCCCACCCTCAGTCTCTCTTGCAGGTCGGAGGCTCTCAGCTCCGGGGGGACCCTCCTAGTGCAGAAGTGGGGGGGTTTCTTCACCCTCCTCCTCCTGGGACTGCCTTTGTTCACCCCGGCTTTCTCAGACAGGCACAAGAGGAACTGAAAGTCAAGTATAGATAAATGGTGGGGAGAGGAGGAGTGCATCCTTATCTCCTTTTAGTTGAGGGGGCAGAATGGATGTTAGATTTGTTCGGATTGCTTTTTTATTTCTTTTTAGGCTAGAAATCATTCCAGTCAACTTCTGTGCCAGTTCAACCTTTGTTAACGAATGAATTTATATTACCTGCAGTGAGAACAGCCCTGTTACAAGACTAAACTCTTATCCCAGGAGCTGGATTTTAGCTGAAAGCTGCACGAGTGTTCACACAAACTCCCCAAAGCATTAACGTGGTTCTAGTGGATGTTCTTGCTATAGAACATAATTTTATTGTCATTGACACACTAATTGTGTTTATTTCCATGTGGTGACGACCAGACATCACAGCAAGGCTTGAAGTCGTATCTCACTGGGCTTACACGAGTGCCCAACCCCAAAGATGACTGAAAGCTCCTAAATTGCCAAATACTTCCGAAAGCGTTGCCCTCCTTACCTTTTCTAACCAGCTCAGCAGTTGTGACTGCTGAGGATGCTTCTTCAAAAATCAGAGATCAGGATTAGAGAATTTGGCCATAGTTTTTGTTCGTTAGTGTAAGTTGGAGGGAGATTAAAGTTTAATTAAGGATAACATGGGGAACAGGAACAAGAAGACAGCAGTAGTACCTTTATGCTTTAGAGGGAATACCAACATCCACATTATTCCACTTGTATAGTTGCTGACACTGTTACTTTTCCTGTTTTAGTGAGCGTGAGTTTGTGTGAGAAAGGCAGAAGAAAGTAGAGAAGGAGACAGAAAGGCTGTGTAAGCACCCTGTTTCTCTAGATCCCTCCCCAAAAGTCAGTCCTAGGGTGGGGAAATGTGCTTGTTCTGCCTGCTTTCATGACCCCCCAGTCTTACTCTGGAAAAAATTTGTGGAAGCTCTGTTTTCTCCCTTCCACACGCGGGCTAAACCCCTCTGTCAGTCCTTTTGTGTCGCTTGTGACGGAGCCAGGTGTCCCTGCTCCTGCACGTGTTCTGCAGTGAGAGGTGAGAGGGTGGGAGCACGACCTCCTCTCCCCTCTGGCTCTGCTGCTTGGCCACGTTGCCGCAGCGTGGAGGTGACTTGCCATGGCTTTTTAAAGTGACCTTTTGGGAGAAAAGCCAGAAATATCTCATTTCTTCCTTTTTCCTAGGAAAAACGTGACGCTGAATGCACGGATGTTCTGTGGAGTGTATTTTCTGCTGCCTTCCATAAAGGAGTGATTAAAAAATATGTAGTAATACATGTAGTGCATTGCCTTTTTAAAGCAATAGTGGTCTCTGAGCAGGGCTTTTTCTGGGGATTAATGGCCAGAAGGGTCTAGATCTGCAGCTGATGATCACCATTAACCCCATCTGGTCAATAATCCTTGTTAATCCACTTTCATTGGCCGGAGTCTGCCTGGCCAAGTGGTTAGCACAGCACAGCTTCACCCCTGTTCCAAGGAAAATTAAACATGTGGGCTGCAGCTGAAAGAAAGGGACAAATCCAAGCCCACGTGTCTAGCTATGTGCTCCTGCTAGTAGTTGCATCCTTAGTAGGGTCAGGTTGGAGATCCAGCTGAAGGTGATGGAGAGCAGGACGTGGGCACGGGGCAGACTGTGCTCTTGCTTTGCGAGCCCTGACACATTGCTGGAGGATCAGGGGCCAGGTGTGGGAGCTGGGATTACTTTACCCTCATCCAAAAAAAAAAAAAAATCAGTCTTTTGACTCCTTTGTGCTTGGGCTCAGCTCTCTTGTGCTGAGAGAAAGTGTGTCCTGTATTCTTAAGTTGCTCCTTTGAGAGCAGGTTGAGTAAGTCAGGCCAACAACTCTTGTTTTACTGAATTATCAGTAAAATCATTATTCTGGAGAGTGTATGCTTGTTACTCATTATATCCCAATAGATCTTTGTCTCATTGCTTTGTATGGTCCAGGTTTATCTCCCAGTTTGGATATGATTTTTCAATCTGGCTCTGCCACTGTCATCAGCAAGCCGTGAGCAAGGGGGACAGGTCTTCTGTGCCATTGGCTCTGTTTGCTCTGCCAGGAGTCCTCTCCTCACCCAGGGGAACAGGTTTCCTCCTGCCTCTCATGGAGTAGCTCTTCACGCTCAGCCAGCCACCAGCAGGTGTGACTTCCTGCTAAAAGCTTTTGTAATGGCTGATGGCTCCCATTTACCTGGAGGGCAGAGCAGCCAAGGGTAACGGCTGACAGGCAAGCTCACCCTCCCTCCCAATGAGGCTGGTGGCAGGAGGTCAGAGCAACTGGGAGAAGGTCCAAGAGGGAGGGGAGGTAGGCTTTTTGCGGAGTAGGTGCTCTGTCGTAAGTGTTGCAGCTGAACCTGCTGCAATATCTTTACTTGCTCTTTGACCTTTTCAGCATTGCTTCCTGAGGACTTGAGGACCCTTCTGGAGGAAGCAAAGGAAATGAAGTGGCCTTTTGTGCCAGAAAAGTGGCAATACAAACAAGACCTCAGCCAAGAAGACAAAACAAACCTGCAAGATATGATCAGCACAAGGCTCCCCGATTTGCTGGTATGAAGTTCAACACACCTGTTGAGTAAAACATCCTGCTGAGGTGCTTGAGGGTTGCAGAGCTTGGGTAGGTCATATCACCAGTGGGTTCAGGGTGTGTTTTTTTCTGCACAGTGGCAGCAACAGGTGAGGAGCTGCTTGGCAAGCAGAGGTGAGCAAGTCTGTGTTGAGGTGGGGCTGCCCACAAAGGCTGAAGGGCACAGATGTGACTTTTATTTGTTTCGGTCCTCAGACAGGAGAGGGACCCAAAACCTGTCCAGGGCAGTGGTGGAGTCCCCATTCCTGCAGCAGTTTAAAAGTCCTGGAGAGGTGGTGCTGAGGGACATGGTTTGGTGTTGACCTGGCAGTGCTGGGTTAGTGATTGGACGCGATGACCTTAAAGATCTCTTCCAACCAAAACAATTCTAAGATTCTATCATTCTAAGCTACGTAGATTTTCCAGCTTTTTTCATAAAAGTTGCTGTGATGCAACACATGTGAATCACAGTCCCCTCCTCCTGGTGAGACATCTCATCTCTGTGTCACCACTCTCTTCCAAGGGAATGGTAGTTCTGCCCTCTGCTGCCACTGCCACCATGCCAAGGCTGTGAGCTTGGCCTCTGCTTTGGGGTTAGGCTTCTGGTGTTTCTGCTTCCAGTAAGGTAAAGTTTACCTCTTCCCTGAAGAACTGGCTTGATAATAAAACTAAAATGCTGAATGTTTACATAAAGTTTAAAAAAAACCCATGAATCTGAAAAGAATGATGAGCCTTGTTTCATTAAGCACTGATGGGAGGCAATGAGGATTACTCATTCTAGTAGGGCTTGCACAATTCATTGCATACTTTTCCTTTTTTCAAGAAAATTACTTGATGGGAACCCTTTGAGGACCAAAGCTGGCCAAAACCTAGGCAGGAAAGGCAAGAATTTAACACGACTTCTCCTGTGGGTAAAAGCATACTTGGCTATGTAAGGAGGTGCAGGAGGCAAATGGTGCCTGGGGATCCCATCATGTAAGGTGATGAGTTTGAGCTTTAAAATTACAAGTGGCAAGAAACGTGGGGTTTTGCCTTTGTGATTTTCTCAGAGGCTTGTCAGACATGGCTTGTAGCAAACAGAGGACTGTTTAGTAGGGAGTGTAATATCTAGGCTAATGAGTATCCTTTTGGCAGGACAGACATAAAGATGAGATTTGTGAGGGGTATTTGTTTTTTGTTTTGTTTTTTTGTCTACTATGGTGCATGTCTGAAGCCAGCATGGTCCCAGTCCTCATAGGAAGGGGCAGTCTGGCCTGAAAATCTGAGGTTTGGGACAGGGAGGTCTGGCCCTGCTGAAATCCCAGCTGCAAAACTGCTGTTAACTCCGAGGTGGTCAGATTTCACCTGCTTCAGAGAGAACCATGCCCAAGTAAGGCCAAAAAGGTTTGGTGGAGGTCGATGATGACTTTGAGTAATGCTGAGAAATGAGAAGCTCCAAAAACAAAATGAGGTCTGGGAGGTGTCAGCCCCGGCATCCCCAGGATCCTGAATTTGCCTGGGTAGGGAGCGGCTGCTTCTCGGGTATTTATTTTCTTTTTCTCTTTGTTGTGTGTGGCCTTCGACAGAAATTTATGGCAGAGGTTGACCTCCTTCACAATCCCTGCACAGCTCTCCAACTTGGGAGCGTTTGTCTGCTCTCTCCCAGGACAAACACCTGCAGTAAACTCCCCGAGAGTCCTGGCGAGATGGGAGATTAATGCGGCTCTGATAGCACCGCAGCGTTTGCAGCATTATACCCGCTCCCCAGGTAGATGGGTCTTCTCTGAGATGATACCAATTATTTATTGCCGAAACATCTGTTGATAACTGCAGCTGCCCTTGTTAAACAAAGTGTATCGTGGGGTCGTAGACTATAGGCACCCAAAATCCTTCTGCATGCTAGTTGTAGACTATTCACCGACACCTCTGAAGCCTGTTGGTTACCTTTGTCTTCGGTGTTTCATCCTGAGCTCGAAAATACTTTGTAAACGTTGTGCTGCCTTTCCCCATGTGCTTTGAAATATTTTTTTCATCTTCAGCAGTAATTTATATTCCAGTGCCATTGTACCACGGGAAAAAGGGAAAACCTTTTTTGTTTTCCATTTAATTGTAGATAGACTGACATTTTGACCTGTATTATTAGTATTAGTCAGGAAAAGGGATTTTTTTTTCCCTTCATCCATTACTCTCCCCCCGCCTGTTTTTTGGCTTTTTTTTTAAATAAAATTTCAAGGCAGTGCAAAGGCTGCTTCAGTTCTTTGAATAAAAAGCTGGGGGGCAAATGAGGCTGAAGAGAAGTGATTACAGTGTGATGAGGAAAGATAAAAGTCTGAGCAACTTTTTTGTTCTTTTTTTTTTTTCTTTTTGCGTGAGGGACAGGAGGATAATTTAATTCCCTGGAGGGGAAAAAAAAATGAGTCTTTGTTGATTTATTGTTGAGAAAAACCTTTAAAATTTTTCATCTCTTGTTTATTTTAATTTGCCATGCTTAGAATAAGCTCATAAACCGTAATTCATTACATTTAAAAAGTGCTTTGAGATCCCTGAATGAAAGGCCCTTCATTACCATAACACACTGGCGGCGTTTGGAGGAGGCAGAGCTGCCTACCAGGGCTCACCACGAGGGTGTTTTACTCTCTGGGTCGCCTCAAAAGCTCCATGAGACCGGCGCAGCAAGTAAGCGGATTAAGCTTTGGCTTCAAGGGTTTGCCTTAGTGCTGCACTTTAAAAAGTGGGATGCCCATGGCTGGTGGCTGTGTGTTAGTTGGACACATAAGAAGGCAAAGCCACCTGCACCTGCAGCTTTCTCAAGTGCTCTTCTTTGCCTTTGCTGGGGGCTGCTCGTTACTTCTGCAGGCGGGATGAAGCGGTAGGAAGGCACAGCAGAACCAGCCTGGGGGACCAGTGGGAGCCCTGCCGCTGCGGGAGCGGGGCCCTGGGACGATTTTGGCAACACACACAAGCCTTTCTTCATTTCTCCCTCTTTCTCCACTTTATGAACCTCCCTAGGGGTTTTAAGGCAACAGATGTGCTGTAAGCCTTGAGGCAAACCAGCACTTCTGATTCTATAAAATCTTCGCCTCTTAGCAAAGGTGGGGTTTTTTGGTTTGAGGGTTTCAGGTTTTGGGGTGTTTTGTTTTTTTGTTTTTGTTTGGTTGGTTGGTTGGTTTTGTTTGGTTCTTTTGTTGGTTTTGTTTATTTGTTTCCTGCCAGGGATTCACTAACCAATGCCAAGGCCACCCCAGTTCAACAAGCTCAATATCCTGTTCGCCACATTTTCTGGACTGTCAACAGCTAGCAAACCCATCCCACAGACCCTTTCTGGGCCTGAACACACCTTGGGTGGGAATCTGAATGAATTCCCTTGAGTGGGAATCTACACTATGTCTTGAAAAGCAATAACCAACACCTATCCAAAGCAAAAACTGTGAAGCATTGGGATTTTTTGGTTTCAACACATGCAAGCCAAATCAGAACTGTAGCAGCATCCTTGCTGCCAAGTATGAATAAGGAGGGTTGACTTTTTCTCTCTAAATCCCCTGTGTGCTGTGGGGTTCAGGCTGGGGCTGCAGATCCAAAAGGGAGGCTGCTCAGGGTTACCCTTCCTGGAGATCTGCACTATCCCAAGGGTTGGGAATCGCCTTAACGACCAGCCAATAGAGGGCAACGTGCCCATGGACACATAGGCTTTGATCCCACAGACCCTATAGAGGGTTTCTGTGAAGGACAACTCTATACACACAAGTAGTTCTCCTGTAGGATGATTCACATCACATTTTTATTATTTTTTAAATAAGATTGGAGCCTGTTTGCAAATCCATTGTAATTTTTATCATATGTATCACTAGTTCCTGCATGTGGGCTCAGAGATTCAGCCATGGACTGGGATCTGTTAGGACAGGTACAGTGAAAATACAAAAGGAAAACCCCCTGAGAGTAGGGCTCCTGTAGGTCCTTCCGCAGGGAGCTGTACAGGCTGAGCCCGTGTTTGGGGAAGTGTGGATCTTGGCCCTGCTGATGCAGAATCTCTTGGGAGTTATTGGGAATATTGAAAATAATATGGAAAATAAGACCTTACAGCCCTTGCCTGGGCCTTGGCTAATTATGTGCTGATCCATTACCAGTAGGGAAACCATTCTGAGGGACATGCCCTAATTACTCTTAGGTGTGTGTGTGGCACTTAAGAGCTGGGAGCCTTGGAAAAAGGACTAAATAGGGAGCTGAGGATTTAGTTTTCTCCTCCTTCTGTTGGTGTGGTAACAGAATTGAATCCCTAAATTGTAGCACTGGGATCTTGGTTGTTCGGGCTGACCTTTTGCTACCTGACTCATAAGAGTTCTTCTTGGGTGATGCCAGTGAGATGGCGAGTGACATAAGGGAGAGCTATGGCTGTGAATTCAGCCCGAAAGGGAACCCGTGGCACCTCGCCCTGCTTTGCGCTCTGTCATCCCCCACATTTTGCAGGTAAGAAGTATTGGAGATCAGGTGCAGGCAGGAGACCTTCAGTGGTCCAGGATGACCATCCAGGTGATGCTGCCAGCGTGCAACGCTGCAAAACATTCTGTCTTCTGCTGCCTGTGTGAGAAAAAGCAGAATTCATGTGGAGCGGCAAATAAAAAATCGTGAAGTCTGTTCCTGGGTGCTTGTAGGGCTGTCAGTCTGCTTTGCTCGTGGGTAAGATTTCCTCCTCTCAGATGCACTGCTTCCTCCCTTGAAAAGACTTCAAGTGCTGTTTTACTGAGGTTGCTATGTTGTGTTTTCCTTCCAAATCGAACTCCTCCTCAGGTGGATTGATGTTTTGAGGATGCAGATTTAGGGCAAAGACTCTTAGGTTTTTAACTGATTATAATGGTCTTGATGCCACCTTCTCAGGGGGGTTCTGTTACTGGCACTTAGCGATTTTTACATATTAAAATATCCCCTTCAACACAGTAGTTTAATGTATCACAGGGAATCACCACAATAGTTTATAAATAGCCTAGAGCTAGAGCACAGTGGGACAGATCAGGACCACAAGATGCTTGTTGCACCTATCCTTGGTAATAAATAAGACCAAGTATGACTGTATCCCCTAAACCCTTGCTACCCTATCAGATATATGAGGCTCCCAGGAATTCCCTCTCTAGTACTTTCCCAACTGGTGTAGCAAGATGTGGTTTGTCATAAAAAACTGATCTACTCTGCAGTGTTTTGGGCTGCTGATAATGGACCTAATGCTGCTCCAATTGAATAAACACCCAACACTCTGTTGCCTTCAGGGTGTATAACTTGGGGTAATGAACAGCTTCAGAAGCTCAAGCCATTCAGTGGGGTTCTCCACTGCACTGAGTGGTGAGGAAGGTGTCCAGGAGCTTCTTCTTCCTCAGTCTGCAGCTCTTTACTGGGCGACTCAACTGTCCCGTGTTGAAGTGCGGCCGCCTGCACGTCAGGGACGCGCTTTCCTCTGCCCGTCACAGAGGTGGTGGGAGGCTTAATTCCTTCTTATTTGTTGAGTGGGCTCTGATTGCCAGCTGAAAGGCAGAGATTGATAGAGAAGTCCCGTGCGGTGACAGCAGCTTTGGTCTCTTGGAAAGACGGGCTTTGCTAACAGCACGTGGAGTAAAAGGGTGAAAGACTTCAGCCAAATCCACTGGTGTTGTGACTCCGTGTTTAATCTGACAGGGGACGAACGCCGGGGGAAAGAAAACCGGGTGATTTGTTAGGGCTCAGTGAAGTGCTAACTAGGAACAGCTCTTGGGAGAGAACCGAAGCACCTGGAAGTACGTGCCACCTGAAACTCCTGCCTGGTGCACAGAGTCAGAAATTTTTTGTTGACTGCTTGTGATTTTGAGGGGGTTTTAAGACTTTAAACCTTAACTGTAGTTACAAATGAAACAAAGACAGAAACAGTCTGAGACTAATAGGTATAACACATAAATCCAGAGTGTCTGCAAGACTGTGGCGATACCCTGAAAATTAAATGATTCCTGCCACTGCTTTCTAACCTGGCCACTTGCTGAGGTGTTTTTCCAAAGGGGACCCTCCCGATCCCGCAGGCTGGGGTGGGGGAGTTGCCTCCAGCATCTTTGCTTTATAAAGAGGGCAGAGAGAGTGGATTAAATCAATATTTCATTTATTTGGGCTTGTAATTCCTCTTACATCAGCTGCCACATAAAGATTTTCCCCTATTTTCTTCCCCTCCTCCTCGTCCTCATTTACTATGCACCAATAATTTCCCTTTGACGCTTTCCTGCCAGTCCTAGTGCCAGATGGCCCCGGTTCTGAGCTGCTCCCCTCTCCTGGGAGCGGCCTCCATTGTCAATGCAAAGGAGGCGTCGTGGCTTTGAACCCAAAGCTGGGACCCAAACTTCAGCCCCAGCATGAGGAGGAGCTAACCCACTAATGCAGGAAACCATGCAAACAGCACACCCTCCCACTCAGCGCCATTAAGGCAAAAAAACCCTTCACTAAAGGGCTGTTTTGCATTTTCCCCAATGGTCCATGTATAGAAATCTGGTGCAAATCTAATTCTCTCACCACCTGATTCCACTTCCCAGCCGCGAGGTTCCCTTTGTGCCATAAACTCAATTAGACAAATGCATTTCACATCATGGACACAGATGTGGAAACAAAGTGCGTGCGTACCTCGCTCTTTCTTCCTCGCTTTCTGTGTCCACGCACCCTGCGTCAGCTTTAAAGCCAGAAAGACAGTGAGTAAATCTGTTTAGGGCAGCAGCCCCCTCTGCAGAACAAAGTGTCCGGCTGTGGCGAGCGGTGGCCATGTTCCTGGCTGGGCTGGGGTAGCCTGTGACATCTTGGAAGAGAGTTTCCCTGGCTCTGGGCCGGGTGACAAGGAGCTGCTCCCTCATTTCGTTTCAGCACGGCCTGGGGAGGGTCTTTGAGCGTGTTTGGGTGCACGCCTGGCACGCCAGTGCACTGGCTGTAGGTGCGGAGGAATGTTCGAGGCACACGAGTTGGCAGGGGATGAAAGGAGTGGGTATTAATTTCTCGGTGTACTGCATGGGACAGGGGGGACGTAATTGCAAGGGCTGACATCGAACCGCGTGTTTCCGTGTGCCACACAGCATGCAGCCCTGCCTTTTTAAAAAAAATAGCTGAGTTTCTGTCCCTGGCTTGACTTTTCTACATTTTACGTCCATTTGGGTTTGGAGAGGGACACAAGAGGTTTCAGCAATTGAGCAGAGAGTTAAATTATGCAGCTGCAAGACTGCCAAACTCTTCAGAATAGGATGCTTCATTTAGATTTTCCACAATGCTATTGAAGTGCTTATTTTCCTCCTGAAGAGACACAAACAGATGCAAACTTCTGTAAACACTTTAGAAATTAATTCAGTGAGTTTGGCCTCTCAGCAGTGCTCAATAGCTGACAGAAAAATGTCTAATTAGTGCAAGTGGAAATAATAGGGCCACTTGGATTCCTTCCATCCTCCTCCAAGTCTACTTTTCCTAGGGACTCAAAGGCTCTTTTGTTCGGTAGGTCACCCTCTCTCAGGCTTTTGTGCTCTGATCTATTAAAGGAAGAAGGGGAGGAAAGAAAAAAAAAAGATTAGGCGATGCTCTGCGCTTAAATATATGGCCTGCTGATGAGCATTTGGAATGGGTGGTTTGCAGTGTCAGTTTACAGGTGCTCGGAGAGGGGGATTCCTCCATTGTTGGCCAGCACAAGCGGAGTGGTGCGTGCCCGGCTCCAGGAATCCTTTTCAGGTGCCGCCCTCTTAGGAAACCCAGCTTGGGCTCAGGGAGGAAAAAAATAAGTAAAGAGGGAAATCTGTACAAATCAGCCTGGCTGAAGTGCAGACAAGCTAGCAACACTTGTCACAGAGCGGTGCTGCGAGCCAGCCTTCAGGACGTACTCCGCAGGCTCTGCTCCAGGCACTTTGGTGTGGGCTTTCTCCTGCGCACCTCAGGTGGTGGGTGTGCTGCTCAAAATCAAGAACGAGTCTTGCTGTCGGGTTCTGGGGCTCTGAGCCAAAAGCAAAGAGAACAGAAATGAGGCTGAGGAGGAGCCCAAGAAGCCCGAGTGGTGTCTGAAGGGGTTTGTGGACATAGCTGTCCCTCTGGCTCTGCCTGTGCAATTACATCAGGAAGGCAAGAGGAGGAAGCTAAGACAAAAATGGGAGGCAGCTGCCAAACTTGGTGTTTTAGTGGGGATTTGGGCAAAGCTTTCTTGGCAGTCTGTCATCCTCTGAGGGTGCTGCAGGGCCTGGTCCTCTCTCCCCTGTGTTGCTTTTACTCTGTCATGAGTGGAGTTACTCGCTGACATGAATGAGATAAGAAACACATCCTTTTTCTAAGGAGGTTTGAGGTGTCCCCATGTCCATGTGGACTTCTGCAACCACGATGAAGCTGTGTGCCTCCTCACGGCTGTCTTTGCTGCCCTCCTGTTCTTTTAGCAGCATGCTGTCTCAGGAGCTCTGGCTGATGCCTCATGTCAATGTGATGGCTCAGCTGCTGTGGGAATGAATCCAAGAGGGTTAATACAGGTGTAGAAGTCATTAAAAATTACTTGCAGGGGAAGAACATCGGACTCATGCTTGTTTTGTGCTGTACAAAGGAGTGAATGGCTTGAGCTCTGTCTGGGACAGTGGCTGTAGTGACCATTCCCAGTCTTTCCAGAGTAATGTTCCCCTTTTAAACTAGTTGTTATTACTTCTGGTAATCTGCTGAGCAGGTCTTAAATTCATTAACTGACCACCAAATTATGCAGTTGCTGCAAATACTAGACAACAATTAGAAAGACACCCCCACCCCCAATCAGGAATGATATCTATGGCTCAAACAAAATAAATAATAAACAGCAGGAACCTTCTTCTCTTATCAGGAATAGCCACAGTTATAGGTTATAATGAATCCTATCTGACCACTGCCACAAAGACTTTTGCCATTGTCTAACTGCCTAGGAACATAAAGGTTAGAAGGTGGGTAGAAATTTTGAGTCAGCCTTTTAATTGGTAGCGAATATTTGCTTCTCGTCACAGCCATGACTTTGCTTGCTGTAAAACTGTGTACCCACCTTGGAGCAGATAGCACAGGAAATCCTGTCTGTCCTGCAGTGGTGCGTGGGCAGCACCGTTGGGCAGAAGGTCGCTGGAGGTGAAGATTTTCTGTAGACAATCTTTGCGAGGTGAGGCTGCCCCACAGCACCGGTGTTCTTTTCAGGTTTATTTGAAAGCCTCCATCATGGTCAAGGACTTTGTGACAGCAGCTGGGATTGTGTTCCTGATTGACCGCTTCCTGTATTGGATCGATGCCTCCAGCAAGCTCCTTCAGATTGCCAAGGGCCTGCACAGGCTGCAGCCCACCATACCCATCAGCCCTCAGGTGCTCATCCGCCAGGCTCGCCTCTCCGTCAACACAGGTACCCCTCCCACTTCTCACCTCAAGCCCAATTAGGAACTACTTGACTTTGGAGAAGACACTTTGTCCTTTGCTGGGGTTGACATGCTTACGGCCCCAGTGCCATCCTTTCCAACACACAGCCCCCTCCCAGCCCCCGCCAGCCCTCCCAGCTCCTCTCACTAGCACAAAGGGGCTGGTATAAAGGGTTTCAGAGCCAAAAGCAGGAGAGAAAATTGTGAAAGGGTGTGGAAAATACTAATTGGAGCTTTTGTTCCTTAACAAATCTTCCCTGCTGGTTTCAAACAGGGATATCTGAATTGCTGTACTTCTGACCAAGGGCCTTTAAAAAGTAAATTAGAATCCCAGCATTTTCTCTGCACTGTCCCAGCTGCTTTTTTTTTTGTTTTCAGTGGGACCACTTGACTATGCAAACAATACAGCTTACAACCCCTTGAGGACAAACTTATTTAAAAAAAAATAAATTCCATCGTTCCTATAACATGGGCAACACCTGAAGGGTTTTTGATGTACCTTCCCCTTGTTCCATTGGGGAGAAGAAAACAAAACCATTCTCTGAAAACAAAACCATTCTCTGCAAAACCCTGTTGAGAAATATTTTCCTAGCAGAAAAGAGACCTATAAGTTCCTTGTGTGGCCATTCTTAGTTGTAGCTGTGGACTTGTGCTGCCCTTCCCCTGGTGTCTGGGTTTGGGCACACTCCAGTGGATGGGCTGGTTCAGCCAGCACTGCACTGCTTCACTGGCTGGAGCAGCCTTCTCGAAATCAGCTGGACAGTTCAGACAAAAAGCAAGGTTCAACATGAATCAAGCTGATCAAATTAGACTGCACCCTAAGCTGTCTCCTGCAGCCCCATCCAACCTGCCAGGGGTGACTCCGGCTGTGTGACAGAACCTCTGAGCTGTGTGACCAGGCTGAAAGGCAGAATGTCCACTTTGTGTTGTGTGCTGCATCCTTTCTGTATATTTTTGGCTGTATATTCTGTGCTTAAGATGGTTCTGAAAAGCTAGACTCAGAATCCTGCAGCAGCCCGAGGCGTGGGAAGGCAGAGTGAGAAGCATGTCAGGTATAGTGTGTTAAGTACACCAGATATATACATAATTTCACCTTACAGGGCAACCACGTATTAGAGAATATAGCGCACGTGCATTTATGACTATTGACAGCAACAAATCAGTGTGCAGGTGATACTGGGGTGTATCAGGTTAAAATATCATAACGGCTTCTCAGTGAGATTTTCTGAAGCGAGTGGCTGCCTAGAAACAGCTTCCTCCTCAGCATTTTCTGCAATATTTGTTGTTCATGTGAAACAGCCTGTGCCAAAGAGATTCCTGAGCATGCGGTGGACTTCACTGGGAAGTTTAGTCTAAGCATGGACACACTGACAATGCTGGGAAGAAGAGTACAGTTTGCAGGGGCTTTCACTGATGAGTATTTTTGTTCACTTCATGCCACCTGATACATTTTTATATTCATTTTCTATCTTTTTTTTTTTTTTCAATCAGGTAAACTTTTAAAAGCTGAATATATCCTAAGCAGCCTTATTAATGACAATGGAGCAACAGGTATGTATATTTTTTTTTCTGATTTCATAGTTACTCTTTTTGGTGGGATTTCTAATACTAATTTTAATGGTCACACAAGCTTCAAATACAGCCAATCTGGCCTTCATTAATGACTCCTTACATCATCACATTTCTCTTTCCTTCACCATTCTTTGCTAAAAATGTGGAAACAGCAACTTTGTTTTGGCTATCCAAATAATTCGTAATAATAAATATAAATTGATCTAATCAATGAATAATAAATTAATATAATTAATAAATAGAAAATTCTAATAGTTTTTGGCTATCCATAATTTATCCCTGTATATCTGCACTTGAGAGGGAAAATATTGTGGATTGGCAGCCTTTCTACTTATTTCTCTGCACAGAGAATTTTAAAATGTGGACCAATTTCAAGCAGTTGACTGATCTGGAAAACTAAGACAACTCCCTTCTTCCTGGCAAAAATTCAGATTGTTAGAATAAAGCTTATCCTGCAGACTCACACTGATCCGACCAAATAAATTTATACTTTATTCTAGATGTGTAGCAGACTGCAGTGCAATTCTTTATTATGTTTTGGGGTTAAGATATGAAAGAGTGAATCCTGGTTCTCACGGCACTTTCTTCCATTGCTAGATAGACGTGCAAAACTGTTAAAATGGGACTGGTCCTTAATGTGTGATCATATTTGTAGAAATTTTCTTCCCCCCGCCCTTTCTGTCAAATGACTATACTGCTGGTTTCAGTTGTTGTGTAGCTTGTTTCAGATCTGGAGGGCTGTGTAGTATTACTAATGGCAAGAATCCATTAATTTTGGCAGACATCCATAATTATTACTTAGTTAAGATTTTGAGACGATGTATTTTAGGGTTTTATACCTGCTTTCTATTTTCTTAGTCTTCAGGGTGTATTTAGTCATTACATTCAGGTTTCTCTACAACCATGAAACTTAGAAAATTTAGAAACCTTTTCTGCATTTTGTTGGTTTATTTTTCATGTGAAACTGAGACCAAGGAGGGCCTTCACACAAGAGGGCTTTAAACAAAGTACCAGCTATCACTATTAAAGTAGAACTGGCTATGTAAAACACTGCATTTCATCTCTCTTGGGATTATGCTTTTATTTTTAATTAATTTTCCTAATATTCAATGCTAATGCTTGTTTGTTTAACACTGCAGATGTGTTAAACAATACTTCACGCTGAGAGCTGCAGTGAAATGTTCACAACACTTGGGAAAGCTTAGTGATTTTATTTCATAGTCTATTATGAAATCCAGTATCGATTTGATAATGGAAGACTTCGTGTAACTAATCATACTGTGTTAGCGTGGAAACTTGTTTTAATCTTCATGAGACATTGAGATCTGAAAGGAAAATGTTTTGCCGATGGTTAAAGTATTTTGCTCTGCTGTGTATAATGGTGGCAACAACGATATCCTGTAGTAATCCTGTTGACTGTTTTTTAGTGGACCTCTGCACAGTGTTTATATACAATAACTTCTTGTTATTTAAGAGAGGTATCTTTCACTTTTCAGACAGGTTTTATGCTCTGTGTAGCTGTTATTCAAGCTACATACCCATATAGCTGTCTACTTAGATTCCTTAATGCACTGTCACAGACTGTAAGTCCTGATTCAAGGCAGCTGAATTCAGTGGGGAGAATCCTGGCACTTTGCTGGGATTTCGGTTACACTCAGAGGCTTAAAATGACAGCAATATTTTTCATTCTCTCCTGAGTTTTCCCCCTCTTTCTTCAGGTACCTGGCGGTATGCTCAGGAAAGCGACAGGATTCTTGTTCAGTCAGTCTGCTTACAAATCAGGGGACAGATTCTGCAAAAACTTGGTAATGCATTTTTCTGTTAACATCGGCTCAAGCTTCCTTCCCCCTGTTTTGGTTTTCTTCTTGTCTTTGCAGTCAAGCTCTAAAATGGTACATTTGGCATATGTGAGAGTTTTAGCTTGTGTAGAATCCCTGCCTGATGCCCACCATGCAGCCACAGAAGATGAGTTGTACACCCCCCTGTTTGCAGCAAGGACCTAGAGCTACGTACCAAGCAAGCACACGTTATAAATCATCATTTTGTTACTAACCCTACTGGAAGTTGAGCAGCATTCTGAAACGTTGTTCCCTTTTTCCCTGTGCTACTCCATGTTTGCTAGCACTTTTCCCAAATTTGCTGTTCCCAAAGGCACGCAGCAGTTTATCACAGGTGCAGCACAGCGGTTTCCTCTCTCAAGACAAGAAAATCCCTCATTTTCAGCATGATGGGCTTTCTGTATTCAGGGCTTGGTACTTGAGGCCAACAGCTTTAATTTCCTGCTTTCGATGTGACCTATCTTCCATGACTGCTGAGCTGAACTCTTACAAAAGAGCATAAAATGTGTTTATACACAGCCAAAACCTAAAGGAAGCTAATAAAAATTGTGTGTCACCAAAGCAAAAAAATGCCACTGGTATGGTTTTACACTGTCTTGAGGGCCCCTGACTCAAGGAGGTGTAAAATAAACCATTGAAAGCAGTGACTGTTTTTCTCATTTGTTGCAGGGATGTGGTACGAGGCAGCAGAGTTGATCTGGGCGTCAGTCGTGGGATATTTCAAACTTCCTCAGCCAGATAAAAAGGTAGTATTTCCTTTTCACTCTGCCTCTCCTCACCAATCTCATAATTGTTCGGATTAGCTGTTGTTTACTCCAGGAAAGTCTTCGGGCAGTGACGTTTCAATTGCTCCCCTCGGAGAGGGTTAACAGGCAGGACAGATGCTGCCGCTGGGGCCTGCAGTGCTCGTTGTTTCCGCGTGCATGCACAGGCTGACCGGCACCTTTCCTCCTGCAGGGGAACCCGAGGAGTGGCTTTCGTTCAGCAGAGTCGTCTGAAGTGAGCTGTCACTCAGAATGTCACAGATGCCTCTGACAAGGATGAACTAACCCCAGAATGCACCCATAGATTATATTTTTTATTATTTTGTTAGGACTAAGTCTAATTTTTTTTTTCTGGTGACCAGGCATGTCTGTGTAGCTGAGCTCATGACACTACATATTGTGAGTGATGGATGTTCCTCAGCACTGCATTCTCTGAACACCTTCCAACACCTACCATGTCAGTCTTCAGCACCTTTGAGAGGCTTTGCCGCACTAATCTTCCCACTGTAGTTGAAGCAACGGTCACACCATGCATCCATAGCTAAACAGGAATGCAAACCTAAGCCCTGCAGGTCCTAGGGTGATGCTTTAAGAGGTTTTGTAATTGTGCCTCAGCGTAAGATACACCACAAAACCAGACCTCATCACCTCTCTTCTGCCATACCTTAAAGCTTGACCTTAAGCTCAGAGTGTTTCTATGGGATGGAATTTTGTGGAAAGCATACAGATGCTTCCTGGTGTTCTTAACTGTTTAGCTGGGCAGACCCTCAGATAGCACATATTAATTGAATCTTCCAGAGAGAGAGAGAGACAATTAGCAAGTTCTTAGATTTATCCATTACATCTTCATGTAATATTTTTTAATTGGTTCTGTAGAACAAATTACAAATAACCAAAAACCCCTCCATTATATCAACATCAAGAACTCTTGACTTTTGTCCAATTTTGTCTGTTTTGTTTTTAAATAGTGTAGTAAGTTGGGGAAGTGTGTTAAAAAAGATGCTTGCTTTCTTAGGCTATGTGTGATGAGCATTTATTTTTTCTGTCATCTCTCTAGAGATCTTTACCCTGGATATTTAGAAAGATTTGGATCAACTGGCCAGTTCTTAAATATAGTCTTCTCTTCTCTTTGAGTCTTGATTTGGTTTTTTTTGTTTGTTGTGTTGGGGTTTTTTTGGGTTCTTTTTGGTTTTTTTTTGTCTGTGATGTTCCACACAGAACCTGCTTTATTGTGAGCATCAAAATTCAAAATACCGGGGGAAAAACTGAAGGAATTAGTGTGATAATTTTCTATTTCTCTTTCAGGGAATTGCTACTTCCTTGGGTATTATGGCAGACATCTTTGCTTCTATGAATGAGAAGGATTATGTACGTTTTAAAACCAATGCTGAGGTTGACCTGGTAAGATTTGGTTTGGTATTTTTACATGTAGATCCTTCAGACAGTGTGTTGTTGTCCCAGATTCACCCACACGTTCTTCCTCTTAATTCCTCTCTTGTGCTGGGAGGGATGAAGAAACTTCCATTGCTCCTGGCCAACAGGTTCATTAGCACCTAGATGGAAGAATGCCTTGCCTCAGGAAAAATAAAACATTAAGAGTATTGACTGTGTGTATGTCTGTGTAATATATAGAATACTTATAGGGTCAAAAAGTGACACATTGATGGTAAAGCTGAGTAAAAAGGCTCCTGCTGCACCAAACCTGGCTGCTGTTGTTTGAAATGAGGTGTCCTGCTCTGTCAAGACTCAAAGGTCTCAGGGAGGTCAAGGAACCTCCAACAGACAAGAAGCAAATCCTAAGCTGCCTTGCTTTAATTGAACAGAGTTACTCATAAGGTAGACCCATCTGTTTGAAAAGAAAGCCTTCAAGATGTGGTTTTCCCTCTCTCTTTTCCATTTCACTAGGGCCTTCTCCGAGAGGTCAGTCATCGCTTATTGTCAGCTGCTGAGGCCTGCAAGCTCGCAGCAGCCTACAGCCAGTACACCCCACTGTTTGTCCTCACAGCCATGGTAAGCATTAGTCTTCATTCTGAAAGTGTGATTTGTCTAAGAGAGGAGTCCAGGCTGTTAGATTTGGCTCCAATCCTGCTTTCAAACTTTGCATCATGCAGGGTATTGTGTCTGTGTTGTGAGTATGATGTGCTAATGTTGCTCTGAACATCGATCAGAAGTTAAGCAGATGGGTGGAAAGTAATATCTTTCCACAGAGCAAGGATGGGCTTTCAAGCCCATCTGGGAATGCTGCTTCTCCTGTAACCACAGCTATATTTCAAAGGAGAAAGAGCAAGATTATTTTCTCCAGGAATCACAGCAGCAGTCAGTTGAAACTGACCTTTTCTTCAAATTGTGTAAGGGAAAGAAACATATTTTTTCCTCCACTATTTATCTCGGACAGAGGGGGCCAGGCTTTTAATTCCTTCCTTCCTCTTTCATCCCCTCCCAGAACATCCGTGGGGTGTGTTTGCTGTCCTATAGTCACTCCAAGGACTGTCCCCCAGAAAAGAAAAAGTTCTACTTGTCTGAAGCCAAAGAATCCTTTGAGATTGGCCTCCTCACCAAGAATGACAAGAGCCCCATCACCAGTAAGCAGGAGCTCCACAGTTTTATTAAAGCTGCTTTCTGTCTCGCAACCGTGCACCGATGGCTCTATGGGGAGAGTGAGAAACTCCATGAGGTGGGTCAGCTGTGTAGAGAAGCCCTGGGAAAGCTGCATTCCTACAGTACTTCATTTACAGAAGAGGAAGACAAAGAAATGCTCGCCAAAGAGATCATGTCTCTGATCTTATCTGTGAAGAAGCTCCTGCAAGTAGAAAGCTTCCCTAATTCTGATGCCAGGTCTTATGTTCCAGACAGTTATAGAGGCACAGTGGAAAAACCTATCCTGCAAGGGGAAGCTGACTTTGAGAAGATCCTCGCCATGCATTCTCAGCATCATGTGTCAGTGTGTGAAGTGTTTGAAAAGGCTTGCAGGATTCACAAAACCACTCCAGGAGAGACCCAAGTGGGAGCTTGTATCACGATGTTAAGAACAGAAACCAAAAGCATGGACACTGTGTGTCCTACCGAAGAAAGAGCATACCAGAGGAAAGGTCCTGTGAAAATGCTGAAGTCACCAACAGCAGGAGGTAGCTCAGAGAGGCTCAGTGGACAGAGAAATAAACACATTGGTTCTGATGTGATGAAAGCTTCCTTTGATGGAGACTTTGAGCTGTTAGAAAGAGAAATAAATGAAGAAAATGGTGTTTTCAGCAAAAGGCAAAACAGGAGTCAAACCACTACTTCAGAGGATTCTTGGTGCAAGCTGTCAAAATCAAGTTTCTCTTCCAGCTGGGAGGAACTAAACTGTAAGAGCAGCAAAGAGTGTCCCAGGGAAGGGCAGCAGCGGGAAAAGGGCTCAGTGGAGGAGCAGTGTTGCACAACAGAATCTGATGAAAATGGTCAAGCTGCAGACTTGTGCTCATTGCCTCCCAGAGCCTGGCATCATTCTCCTCGAGAGCCTCTCCATAGCTATTGGGGGTCTCCTCAGCCTTCTGACGAGGCAGGTGCACCTCTGGTACAGAAGGCATCTCTTTGCAGAGAAGAGCTGCGGGAGGGAAGACACTGTGGAAAGAGCTCTTCAGAAAAGCAAGCAGGGGAGGTGAACAACACCGTTCCTTTGCTCTCCAACCTTTACTCTGTTTCTACTGGGCTGAAGAAGGAAAAGGAGGAGGAAGAGGAGGAGGCGAAGTCCTCCTTGGGCTGCAGGACCAAGGACAGCGTCAGGGAGCGTGGCGGTTCCTCCTCATCCCGGCCCCGGAGCCCCTTCCTGTGGGTCAACCCAGAAGGAGAAACTGCAGATAGCATAGAGGATCCCTCGTTTGAGACACGTCCCCCCACAAATGGGGATGCTTCTGTAGTATCGATGAGCACCAAGCCAGAAATGGCCAGTGACCCCTCTGTGTGTGGCTGGCTGAGGAAATATGCTGTGGTGGGAAACGGATCTCTCCAAGCACCTGAAGTTGACACCCAGGCAGAGACAACAGATAATGATGAATTCGATTTTGTCAATATTGGAGGCTTAGTAAACAATTATCCTACAGCATCTGTTCCAAAGCCTCAGTCAACTCCCACTGCACCAACAGCTTTGCCCTCGAGGGGAAAAATACCCCTGAACGAGCACTTTGACTGTGCCTCTACTGAAGCAGATGAAGAAGACTCTCAGGACATGGTGAGCAGCAAGAGACAATCCAGTTCATCTCTGACTTCGTGGTGCAAATCAGCACAGATGCCCAAGAGTTCCCCTGAAAGTTCATTCCTGACCTCCAGGGGAAGTGGTTTTGTCCTCATGCCTGGGAGAATGAAGGCGGACACCCTGGACGCTCGTTTTCTGAGGGACGAGGATTACGCGCAGCTTCTGGCAGGAGTAGAACATAATTGGCTCGTCCAGAGATTGATGCCTACTGGAATTTTTAAGTCCAGACAGCTTCGTAAAGCATACTGTAAGTTTTCACACAGCAACAGGTACTCCCACAGAGAACAGTCTGCACTCAGGCTTTTTAACACAATGGTTTAGTCATCATTTATTAGGACTTTTTGTTGTTGTTCTTTGTTTAAGATTTTTAGCAATGGAGGAACACTCCCTTTCTATTTTCTCCTATTCCTTCCCACCTATGTGCTTATCAGACACACCTTCACAGTGATGGGCTCCATTTCCATGCCCATGCAGTCCCTCCTGCTTCAGTCCCTGCATGCAGGAGGTAACTTGGCTGCTTGACCTCCCCATGCCCATTCATCAAGCCTTTTCTACCCCATTACTTGAGTTTCTGGTTTTGTCACCCACTTAGATTCCACATTTTGTCCTGGTAATCTGTGCATTTAAGATAATGATCATTAAGTTAATTATAAATAGCACCCTTACTATGCAGACACTTGCTCAGTACACTAAGAAATATAGAAGGCAGAAGTAACACTGCTATAGGCTGCCTCATGGAGCTCGTTAAGTAAAACCCACTTAGAGCTCATCCCATCTTATATGTCTCAAGCCTGTTTAGCAATTTTTTGTCCTTAAAGTATATTTTCTGTATACATTTTATGTATTTTGTAGCCCTGTACTTTGCTTTCAGAGAAGCCTCGATGTCTTATCTCCTGAGTTCTGGGTATTTCATCCCTCAGCACGGGCTTAGACCAGTCCTGTTGAATTGTCTCATTCTACTTGTAGTGTTCTCTTTTTGTAGCTGCTCTTCTTTTAAAATACTCCAAGAAATCAGGCCTCTGGACGGGCCAAGAAACAGCTGTATTCATTGGGGACTACCTGAATGTGGCAAAGGAAGGCAAACAGAGAAGTGCATTTTGGATACACTTCCTGCACCAAGAAGAAAGCCTGGGAAGGTATTGACCAAACCAATCTCTGAAACAAAATGCTCATCAGTGCTACTTCTGTGTAAATAGGAATGAAAACTGTTCCAACCTAGCTTACTCTTGGTTAGATTTTGACTGATTTTCTACAGCTAGAATGTTTTATCGCTTTCCCAAATCTCCTGGGTATTTTGGCAGCCTGTCCCATCACTCCATGCAACTCTTTACTTTGTAATTTCTGGGAAGAAAAAGCTACTTCACTGGTGTCTTCTGACAGGCATGTTAGTGTTCATCAGCTTGTGACAGCTCTTAGGCCTGGCTTCACCTTTGTCTGTGCCAGGATAATCCCCTTGGACCAGAAATGTTGCTTCGTTTTTATTTGACCTCTGGTTTCGCATTAGAGAATTGCCAGTTTAGCTATATATCTTCATCTTGCAATACCAGAAAGGTGCAATAGCAGAAAGGTGTTTCAGTTGCTTTTCTTTAGTTTTAGCAGCAGGTTTATGTAACAGATGCATCTGCAGGATTAAAATCACCAAGCTGCTTCATAAGGCACCAGAGCTCTGCTAGTTGCAGATTTTGGTTTGTTATTAGAAGTAGGTTGTGAATTATTCTGAGTTAAGAACACTAAGTACCTCTGAGTCAGGTGTCCCTTCAGAGTGGAGAATAATTGACTTTAAACATTCTGGTGTTAGGAAACCCCCATCCTAGGAGCTGACTGATTGATGCAGTGTTTTACAGCTGTAAGAGCTGTAAAAGAAAAACCCCACAACTTTAATCACTGCCATTTTAAACACATCACCAACGGCTGGCTTTGCTTCTCCACAGCCAAGCTCTGCTTTGTGGTGATGTGTCTGCATCACAAGTGCAGTCTGCTGCAAATCTGGCCATGCCTGATGCTTCTCTTTTTGTTTAGGTATGTTGGGAAAGAATATAAAGAGGAAAAAGGACTTCTTCATCATTTCAGTGATGTGGAACGGCAAATGACTGCCCAGTACTACGTGACGGAATTCAACAAAAGGCTGTATGAGCAGAAGGTCCCTACCCAAATCTTTTATATCCCATCTGCAGTACTCCTGGTGAGAATTGTCTTCTAAGCAATACAAAGGAATTGATGGGAAGAGTGTCCTAAGTCAATTTTGATTTTAAAATACTAGCAGTTAGGCCAGCTCTAGATGACAAGCTGTTGTTCATGTGATCTTACCTGGTAGCTGCATTTGCTCATTTCTGGGCAGGAGAGACCTACCTGCAGAGCTACAAGTTCATGGGTGTGCTGGCAGAAAAGATGCCATGTACTGTTAGAAATGAGAAACTCACTTGCAAAGGAAGCCCAGGAGTTACCCAGCCTTTTATATTATCTCACAGTATATGCACGTCTATTTTCAGGAGTAGTTTTGAAACCTGAACAGCAAACTGACCCCTTTTGAGCATCACAAAAATGTCTAAACTTAACTAGAATCCAGCAAGTGAGGTTTTTTCAGACAAGTTGATTTGCTGCAGGACAACTTTCAGGCCTTTTCTGCATGGTGCTGAATCTCAAGAACATGGGACTGGAAGGGACCTTCTCATGACTCATCAAGTCCAGTGCTCTGATATCACAGGGCCCTGGACAACCCTCAAAATGCCCCACTGGTTATTTACACACTGAAGAAGGTCCATGTGCAGGTTTAGCCAAAATTTTTCAGCTTTCTAACTTATTCTTTACACATAGTCTCCTGAAAGAAGTTCTGCTGGACAAACTAAGCATTTGTAGACTTCATTGCTGATGAAGTTTGTATGTCAGGCTGATTTTGTGTTGGATCTTGTTCTACCTAAGTGTAAGCCCCTTACCTAAACAGGATGTGTTTTGAATCAGGAGCAGGTTAGCATGGAGACTCCTGTCAATCCTGTGGTGGAAATTTCCAGGAGGAAAAAAACAAGACTTCAGTTAGAGAAGCTTTAGCATCCTTGTTTTCACACCTCCACTTTCATGACTGTCATTAATGCTCTTTTTCTTCAGATACTGGAAGACAGAACTATAAAAGGATGTTTGAGCGTGGAGCCCTACATCCTTGGGGACTTTGTGAAGCTGTCCAATAACACAAAGGTAGTAAAGAATGAGTACAAAGCCACGGAGTACGGCCTGGCCTACGGCCATTTCTGCTATGAGTTCTCCAACGGAACCGACGTTGTCGTTGATCTGCAAGGTTTGTATGACAGCCAACTTCATTTCTTGTGTGTCCTCTCACATCGCAGAACGTGCTGCCAAAGGCGCGTGCTGTCTGTAGGTGATATAAAATGCAGGAGGTGTGTGCAGGTGTGTTTTTGCTTTGTTCTGCACTGCATCACAACAAGAGCACCTAGGAGCACCACGTGCACGGGAGCACCACATGCCCCCCGCTGTGCCACAGCTTCATGCCATGGAGTTGTCTGCATCCGGTTAGACTAACGCCAGCCTGCAAGGGTGTGTCTCATGGAACCAGCTGAAGGAGGCAGAAGGTTTTCTCATGCTTTCTCCTTCCTAAAATTGGCAAGCCTTAAAAAAGGTCCTTTATTCAACTAATGGAAAATGGAGCTCCTTGGTTAAGAGCCAAGGAGAAAACATTTCGGACTCAACCTTTAGCACAGGGGTATCTTTGGGATATTCATTTCATTATATATTCATTATCTATTATTCATTCTATCTCTTAGGGTTCTGCTTTTGCTGACATACGTTAGAAATGGGAATCACTGAAGTGACATTAACAGTCCTGTGCACAATAGTACAGAGGCTGTGATGTTCCATACCAAGATGTGTCCTTTCTTCCACAGGTTGGGTGACAGGTAATGGTAAAGGCCTCATCTACCTCACAGACCCCCAGATTCATTCTCTGAATAGCAAAGATGTTTCACGTTCCAACTTTGGGAAGAAAGGAATTTATTACTTCTTTCATAATCAACATGTGGAGTGCAACGAAATCTGTCGCTGCCTTTCTTTAACAAGACCCTCAGCAGAGCTGCAGATGTAGGCTCCCACAAGATGGTCGCACAAAGAATGACCCCTAAGCTGGACAGTGTTTTACTCTACAGACCTTTAGGAGCATGTTGCCTTTGTGGGAGCAGAGCCACTGTGATGATACCCGTGTGTGCCAGATCAGTCATTACCTGCACGAGTTTGGCAAGTTCTGGTATTGCATTCAGGCTGGTAATGCCATGGTACCGTCTTGGGTACTGTCTGAACCTCACGGTGTTGTAACCATCTGGAAGAATTAAGAACATAAGAAGAGTAAGAAAACAGCCTGCCAGATTCAACTAGAGGTCTACCACAAGACTGTACAAACTTCTAATCCTTTCAGACCCAGGAAGGGCAATAGGCACCATCTGCTCTTTGGAAATGGAATATGAAATAGAGTGAGGTAGAAGCAGAGCTGTATTTCAACCATCTGTAACATTTTCAAAAACTTGTATAAATGCTTCAGGGAACAAATGGTTATGTTTTGGTTTGCTTAAAAAACAGGGTTTCTTTCAGAGGTGTGTGTATGTATGTGCATACGTGACCACACAACATCTAACACATGGAAATATGGCTTCAACCCCATCAGCCAAGAAAGCTCTGCTGCTCTTTAAGGGAAAATTAGAGATGTTTTACATTAATAGTTTAGGGCTGCTACATTAAACAAACTCTTGGCAGAGTTTCCCAAGAGAAGAACAGTTCTCACTGGAGGACAGCACATCTCTCCTGCCCGTAAGGAAACTGTGAGTGCTGCAGGCTCGGTGACCATTCCCAGAGATACTCTCACTGGCCGTGAGCGTAGCCACCTGTGCGGGGGAGCTGTTCAATCAGCACGGGGCAGGCAGCCTCCTCCCACCCCACCCCACGCACACACGAAGAGTAAATTTGTACCTACATGACGGGGCAGGGGGAAGGGGATGTGTCTTGACAACTCTGCCCATGCTGGGAACAGACATTACTATCACACATGCAAACAGCTGCAGCTTGGTCCTTTAACTCCAGTATTTTAGCAGTGGTTTTGTTATTTTTTGTGGCTGTTCCCGAGCACGCTCAGAGAGCCGCCGATTCTTAACACCAGGACTGAACAGCCTGTGGCATGTATGCTGGCCACATGCTTCCGTAGTGCCTGCCTGCCTTAGAGACAGCTGCAGCCTTTTGCTTTTTATGAAACAATCTTTTGTGGTCTTTTTGTTGTTGTTGTTGTTTTGTTGTTTGGGGTTTTGTTAAACTAAAGTTTGCAATTCATTCATGTGACCTCCTTGGACAATTCACATACTGATAAGGTACCTCCAATAGACCCAACTGCTGGAGTTACTCTGTCACAGCAGATCTCAGCAGCACCTCGAGGAAAGCGGTGCCCTCCCAACTTTGTGAATTCTAGCTGAACAGCTGAATTTTTTTTTTTTTCGCACACAGGCTGATTAGCTGAAAAAGAGTCAAACCTGTAGGCACGGACAGATACCAGATATGTGCTGTAAAGAAAATGGACATAAAAAAGAGGGGATGAGAGCTCCTCACACAAAAATGCTGCACCCCTTCAATGCTGAATTAAGCCAACTGGTTGGAAAAAAAGAATAACCAAAACACCTGTTGGCAATATTACCCAAATTCAGACTATGGTGAAAGAAGGGTTTTCAAATCCAATAGGCTGGCTGTTGCATTTTAGTCCTAAAAAAATTCAGCTGTCCATTTTACTTCTACTGCAGACAGACTTTACATGAGTTGCCTGGCCAGGATGAGCCGGCCTCAGCCTTCATTTCCAACGGGTGATTAACCCACATGAGCTTCCAGGAGGATGCTGGTTTCAGCCTCTGTGAGGGACACACTGCAGATTGTGATTAAAAGCAGAGGGCATATCTTGCATCTACAAGTTGAAGCCGATTTTCTGTTCCACAGGGGAAGAAAGAAATCTTACAGTCTTCCAGCACGTGTTCCCTGGTGTTACTAGCCTGACTGGGAGGCAGAAAAGCGACTTCTGAGAAAGTTCAAGCAACAGTTACGCTTAACAGTGCCACATACAAGTGGGATAACAGGCAGGACTGGAGCTAACATTTGTTGCTGCCTCTTCAGCCAAAAGGAACTGTGCTGAGACCTAGGTTTTACTCTTCCAAGACCAAACCAGCACCTCCAGAATACGTGTGTGTGCACACATAAGCATGTGCACTTCCACGTGTACCACGGGGCTGGCCTTTGCTCGGAGGACGGTAGGTAGCTTTCAGCAGCAGTGAAAAGCTGCTGCCCTCATTTAAAATTATCTTCTTCCCCTCCAAAGCCCCGATGTCCCAATGACCCCGAGCTCCATGACTGAGGAGATTTTCCTGATGAGAAAGGGAACACTGCATCAAACTTCCACAAAAAAAGGTAGGTCCCCAAGAGAGGGTTAGCTTTAACAAAACCATCCACTTTTGTTTCTGCAGCCAGCAGAGATTTTTTAGGCTTTTGTTCCTGCTTTTTAGCAATGCTATTTTTTTCTAGGTGATGTTTGTGCCGGGTTGTTTGGAAAGATGCCCTATTGCTGCACTGACCGATTAGAACTAGGTGTAAAGAGGGAGAAGCAAGAGAAGAAAAACAAAATTAAATCTCTTTACTATGGTGCATAAACCTTCAGTGTTGGGGAGCTGGGCAGCTGCGCAGGAAGAAAAAATGCATTCAAAAATATAATGCTAGTGTGAATAATCCTTTCTCGAATGCTGCTTGCAGACTGCTTCAGCTTTGTCAGGTGAACTTGAACTGGGCCATCAGATTTGCTGCCGTTCCCATTGCACACTGTCTATCACCCCAGGGCATTCACCATCTTGACTGTTGTTAAAAGGGAGCAAACAATCCATCATTGAGCCGGGGAGTCACTCGCTCATAGAAAAGTAAAATCGGCATGTGACGTGCACTCGGCCCCAGTGTTTTGCAGATTAAAGTGATACATGAAAACTCACGTGTTACTGGGAAGATTAAGCCCCTTATCTTGTTCAGCAGCCAATAAAGGACGGCCTTGTCTGCAGCAGTGGGGAAATGCTGCCTTTAACCAAGTGACAAACATCGCTTCGTGCTCCGGCAAAAGACAGCGCCCAGCTCTCCACGAGGAAACAAAGCTAGTTAGCAAGATCTCTGGAATTAATGGGTGGCAGGGATGCTGTGTTAAAGCCTCTCGGCAGAGGCTTTCCCTTCTCTATAGAGACAATTAAAAGCAAAACAAAACCTCCCGGACAAGCTCTGCAGAACAAAGTGTCCTAATACGCTGCCAACAGCCGGCCCCGCAGAGTCTGCCCTGATACCACAGGCAGTTGTGAGACCCCTGAAAAGTAATGCCTTTTCCAGCTTCTGCCTTTTGTTCCAAGAAAGAGAAAAATGGATATCTACGTGTGCTCCTGAACTATTTTAGAATTTTCATTTCTTCCTAATGCTTGCATTTGGCAGCAGATTTCTTTTGTTGGTTTGTAGCACATATTTTATCATCTCAGCCAAAGTTATGGCTACTCCCAGTTAAGAGTATCAGCTTGTCCAGTTCCCTGCTAAAAGAGACATCATCGTATTTAACCCTGTAGCTTCTGCTGATCTTACTCTTTGCAGGCTTGGGCACAAATTCAGAGGTATCAACCCTTCACAAATGCAGGCACTCTGGCTTCATCCAGGGTTTGGATTCAGGAAATCCTGGATTAATGGGCTCTGCAGCCTCATTGCCTGAAGACATATGGCCCAAAACACACAGAACTTGAATTGTTGATTCATATAAATAGGTGATTATTGGGGGAAATAAAGAGTCAACTCAGACTAATAATGGAGCATTTAATATTTTGGCTAGAAGTTTCATCTCAGAACTACTGACCAAAAAAAATTGTTTTGGTGTTTCTTCTGTTTTCAGAAGAAAGTGATTTGAACCAACCAAGATTTAGGAAATACTTTTTTCTTTCTTTTTTTAAAGCTTTTTTAGAAATTCAGTGGTTGAGATTAGCTAACTTGCTACGAAGGGTGCTCGATGAATTCTAACACACCCCAAAGTCCAACATAAGAGCTTGATATGACCGTGAAGAGCCAGTAACCCAGTGGTCTCTACAAAATGAGCAAAACTGTGTTGTGAAATATTATCATCAACAGTAGGGACGTAACCTCTGAGGAAACATTTCCTCCTCTCAGCTAAAGGAGACACCTCAAGGACTTGAGTTCGCACCCAGCGTCAGTGCTGCTAAGTCAGGCACAAAAACATGCTGCTGTTGGCAAGGTGATGACATTCTTTCCTGTCCTTTGGTGAAGAGGTTTGGCTAAAGCAGTTTCTCTCAGTCGCCTTTCCACAGGTACCCATGAGAAGAGCAGAGGTCTCGTTTTCTGTGCCATGTACTCTTGCATTAAAGTTCATCTATTTGATGCCAAGAGGGACGAAGTTGATGCAACCTTTTAAAAGGCTATTAACTGGGGGCAGAATGATGTTCTCACTCTTTTGCCAGTACCTAATGTTGCTATGAACCACTCTGGGGAACGTCTCTTAGAACAGATGCAGTGTGACAGGGAGAGGCGTGAGCCAGGCTCTCCCGCCAA